GTTCAATACTTCTTCCCTGTGCCATTCCACATTATTACAAATAACTTCATTTCTGGACATTTATGGTTTGATTTCTTTGTATGTATGGATCACTTGGGTTTTACCAACATCTGGTGAAAATTTTATGTCATTAGCACCTCTAGTTATATATTTACTGAGAAATATGGTGACGTGTTCAATACTTATTTTACCCGCTGTAAATGTTATCTATGGGTCAGCAGATCTTAAGAGGAGGAGACAGAAACTCTCACCCCACAGTCTTGTATTGGAATCATTAAAGTGCTTTACTTATCAGACACTTTTGTTTGCGTTTAAATAATCCAATTTTTCTAAGCTCTGTGTGTGTGTGTTAGGGTCATGGCTTATTTCACTCCAGGTGTGTGTTTCTGGCCCGAGGGGAGATGGAGCAGATGGTCCCTGTTTACGTGTCACAGTGTGTGTTTTTATCATTTCCCTGCCCACTGATCTGCACTGAGAAAAAAAAGTCATGACAAATCTGTTTTAAAAAAATAAAGGTGCAGAAAAATAATATTTTTATTTGTTATACATGTCACTTTTCCTAACACTCACCTAACTAGTTTACCTTTATACCTAAGCAGACATTTATGATAAAATCATTGCATTTGAGTAAATAAAAYGTTAGATTTTCCACAAGGCTTGGCGTGTAATGTGGTGAAGAAGCKAAACTGCATGAAATCGTTGAAGATTTTCCCAAGAAGCTGCTCACTTGGCTTCTTTTAAGGCGAGAGTTTGGATCAAATGACTAGTTTCTGAGTCCAGCGGCTCACGTGTCCTCCGACCTGAGGATGACCTCATCCTCTCCAAGAAACCAAAAACAGCTGAGTCATTTTTACATTTTTTCTTTTTTTTTTTTTACATCCACCCAACATTTCAGAATCATACCCTCAAATTGTTTTGCTGTTATCACTCTCAGCAGAAACTGCAAGCACAGCAGACTTGGTGGACAGTTCAGGAACCGTTGGATTTTAGAACGTTTCTAACAGTGAGCTGGGAGTTTCRTGTCTGAGATGGTTATTAGAAAAAAAAGACGAGGTCGTGCAAATAAATATTTTGAGGATTATAAGGATATTTTTGCGTGTGCTCTAATTAACCCCATGTTTTTTTTTGCATAAAACAGGAACAAAAATTGCATTTAAAAATCAAAACTTGTTTAATTTTCCTAAAAAATAAAGCTAATTAATGACATTTTCAAAGCCATGTGGTGTTTGACAGCAATGAGAAAGTGTCTTTTATTTTACGTTCAAAGATTGTGAACAGTGTAGGGTGTAATTAAGGCTTAAAAATGGAGCCATCAGATATAATTTGCTCCTAATAGGACTGTGTTTGTTTATTGTTTCTGTTAAAGTACGTCAACTTTAAAGTCTGTCTGTGAAGATTATTAAAGGAGACCAATTATGGGTCCTAGAAATGTTTATGGTATGTCTGTGGGCTATCCAGACCATGTTCATTCAATTTAATGCACAAAATAATTCTCAGATAATAAAATTTCCCATTTTCTAGTTCTGCCTGCTCTGACTTCGTTCAGAAGAGCTTTTTATGTTAATGAGCTCTGTTGGTAACGCCCTCCAAAAATCTGTTGACATTAACTCCGCCCTCCAAAGCCAGCGTTTACGTTAGCATGGCTAATAATAGCAGAAGCTCCGTTGTACAACCATATGAGACCCAGAGGCAGAGTCGTGGTCACAGCTTCCTTTTTTTTTTCTCCCTCCTCTGCTCTGCGCTCACTCTGCATGCTGTTACCAGAGCAGGGAGCAGCAGCGGTCAAAATACCTCAGAAACTCGAACAAATAGGCTTTAACAAGGCTTTAATAAGCTAAACAATAGAGGTACATGAGAAAACGTGTTCATAACGAACGAAAATAAATAAATAATTAAATTGTGTCCGTGTTGGTCTCAAACCCTGGTCTCCCACTCTCTGGTCCAACACTCTACCCATTGTCCTATTGGAGGCTTGTTGTGAAATGAGCTACGCATTGCACAACAACACAGTGACTGCTTTTTATACTGAGGAGGAGGAGTCTCACCCGGGGGTTGCTAGGTGAGGGGCTGAACGCAGGCTCCAGTGGGTTGTCGTACGGTTTGTGACATCACAAAATGACGGAAGTATAAAACTTGTCGTTAATATACATTAAAAATACATTTACTTACAGTACATATGCCCCTGGGTGCATTTTTTTGGTCCTAGGACTGTTTTTTTTAAGAAGTACATACCCAAAGTTGAGTAATAAAACCTTTAAAAAGTGAATTTTGCATAATAGGTCCCCTTTAACATTCCTCGCTTCTCCATTGTTTTTTAATGCAAACTTTCAAAATAAAGTTTCATTATTTATGACCTTTTGAAATTACGATGTAATTTAATCAGTTTAATGTATTTTTTATGATACGATTTGATTTATGCAGTGTGTTTAATAAGCTGTAGCTTAATTTTTTTGTTTGTTTTAGTAACTATGGGATACACAGCACTGCTGCAAAAATGGCCCAATCAGATTTCAAAGACATCTAAATACTTCACCATAATAAAAACGTAGATAAATGACAGAATCAACCCCCAATTTTGGTGAGAAGTGTCTATTTAAATACAGCAGTCTGATCTAATCAGGGGTCTTTGTCTCTTTTTGTGTCTCCAGGTGATCCCATCATCCCAGGCTTTGTGTTTTTTTCTTGCTGCCTTCGTCTGAAGGGACGCTCTGCTGATTGCTGCTTCAGAACTGAGCCTGTGGATCACTGAGTGTTGGAAAGGCCTTGATCACAGCTTTGTCAACGCCGTCACATCCTGAAACAAAGAAGAGCTGCAGCAGAAAACTGACAGGAGTTGAATTCTTCTCTCCTTTTCATTTTGATTGGAATATAATTTTTGTTTTAAATTTGAGTTTTCTTTTTGGTCAGTGAAGTGTTTTTGTTTTGGTACGCGCCGCGCCCTCAGCCGCCATGTACGGAAGTTCTCGTTCTGTCTCGAAGCTGGACGTGGTGGGGTCCAACGGTAACGGGTCAGCGTCCGGGAGCCCCGGGCGCTCGCCTCGCCTCTCCCGCTCGCCACGTTTAGGACACCGGCGGAACAGCAGCAGCAACTCCACCGGCGGACTCACCGGCACCGGTAAAACTCTGTCCATGGAGAACATTCAGTCTCTGAACGCGGCCTACGCCACGGGCGGGCCCATGTACTTCACCGACTCGGCCGAAGACCCCATTGGGATCGGGAGCGTCGGCAGCGGGCTGAACCCCACGGCGCCCAAGGGCAGCATGACCCTGGGCAGAGCCGGGACCCGGGTCCCCTACGGGGTCAGGGCGGCGGTGATGGGCAGCAGTCCCAACATAAACACAGGTGGGTGCGGTGGGGCCGTCATTCCTTGCGACTCCATCGCCTTTGGTGGGGATCTGCAGAACCAGACTCAGCAGGCGGCTACCGTTCCTCACTCCATGAGACAGGTGAGGATCGAATCTGTGGGGGTTTGTCATTTCCTGTTGTGTATATTAGTATATGTGCATTGGTATATATCACATGTGTAGTGTTTTTCTTTTATTTATCTTTCTTTATTCTCTCTCACCCTCTCCTGTATGGAGCTGCAGTAATGTGCAAATTTCCCCACTGTGGGATCAATAATATCGTATCGTATCGTATCGTATCGTATCAAAACGTTCAGCTCCGTCAGGACATTTCCGCTGTGACTTTTGGTGTTTCAGCAATTTAGCTTTTTCTGCCATTTCTTTGTAAAAATGACTAGAACTTCCTTCAACAAAAAAATGTTCATAAATCTTTATTACACTTTTCACCTTTTGTTGTGGTTCACATTTTTTAACGTCTTTATGCTAATATCAGCATCCTTTTATCTTCTTTTTACTAACTTTAGCTGTTTTTTTTTTTGCTTTTTCAGCTTCCCTTTCAGGTCCTTTTGGTTTACTCCTGCTTATTTCAACTCTTTCTTCTAGTTTCTTTCATCTATATTTCTTCTTTTGGCTGCTTTTTTGTAACTTCAGCTTTCTTCTGCCTTTTTAGCTACCTTTTTTAGCTGTTTTCTGCTAGTTTATTTCGGGCTTTATTTAAAATTAGACTTTATTTGAGCTAAATGTACCTTTTAGTGATTGTCCTGCACTTTTCACCTTCTATCTTGGTTCGGCTTTTTTCTACTTTGTATTAAGTTTAGCT